CGATATTCATTTCTACAGTCAGAAAGCCTTTATTAAATGCGAGCTATTGACACCGGGTTGTGATCCGTTATTGGCAGAGTGCAGCTGCAGAGGAACAGCAAATATCGCTATCTACTTAATCAGCACATCCCTCCATAATTACCTCTCCCTCCTTCATCAGCAGAGCAGCCCTTGAGGACCTAGTTTTTCAGACTGTCGTGACTTTAAAGGCTGTCTGTTCATTTTATGAAAGTCGTGTTGTTTTATCAAGACAAGGATCCACAAAGAGCGAGTGAGAGAGCAAAAGATCTAGATACGTTTTTAGTATGTCTCCCTGAGGTTCTGTTTGCATAGCTCTGATCATTCAGATTGAGGTAGACTTTAACATCTCATCCTAAGGGTTCGTTTCGTACTTGTACAGACTATTATTTTTGTATTCATGAAATGTATTAAAAAAAAGAATAATATTACACTATATATTAAATAGGCAATCAGGTGATGCTATAAATGTTATAAGAAATCCAAGTATCCATCAATCTGTTTCTTCTTGTGTCAGACTAATTATTTAAGTTAGTTTGTTCCCTTTTGGCCCAAAGTTTGACCTGTGACCTTCTGGTAGGGTAAGATCTCCTGATCATCGTATACAGTGTGGCAAAAATCTACTCTTTGCTTTTTAACAACATAGTATTCTCCCATAAAAAAATAAATAGCATATGTATATTGGTATTCAAATATGAAAGGTATTTTGAAGGACTTTTTTCAATTTTTTTAAAAGACCCGCTATCTCCACGTGCGTGCGAGAGCGTGCACGATCCCATTTGTCCTAGCGCACGCTCCGTCTAAAATTTGCTGTTCTCATAGCTCATACAAGCTTACTGTGCCCAAACGTCCGCCCTAACCCCCAAATCCCTCAATCACTATATAGAGCAGTAATTATATAGAAGACTTTATAGCAAACTTAGTTAACTGACCGCTCAGACAGATGATCACTGCTTTTTGCTCTGTTGGTCATATAACTCCTCAACTGCGCGGTGACTGCGCCAAAGAACCACGGTAAAGGTGAGTTCAATGACTGTCTGAAACCGTAGCTCACCACACATATATGCCTGAAAGTACACATGCGCAGAAAAAGATAGCTTACTGGATGAGCACATGACAGCCCAACATAAACATATCAGAATGATTGACTATTAGGAGGACCACTTACACTATATTGCCAAAAGTATTTGCTCACCCATCCAAATTATTGGAATCAGGTGTTCCAATCACTTCCATGGCCACAGGTGTATAAATTCAAGCACCTAGGCATGCAGACTGTTTTTACAAACATTTGTGAAAGAATGGGTCGCTCTCAGGAGCTCAGTGAATTCCAGCGTGGAACTGTGATAGGATGCCACCTGTGCAACAAATCCAGTCGTGAAATTTCCTCACTCCTAAATATTCCACAGTCAACTGTCAGCTGTATTATAAGAAAATGGAAGTGTTTGGGAACGACAGCAACTCAGCCACGAAGTGGTAGGCCACGTAAACTGACGGAGCGGGGTCAGCGGATGCTGACGCGCATAGTGCGAAGAGGTCGCCAACTTTCTGCAGAGTCAATCACTACAGACCTCCAAACTTCATGTGGCCTTCAGATTAGCTCAAGAACAGTGCGCAGAGAGCTTCATGGAATGGGTTTCCATGGTCGAGCAGCTGCATCCAAGCCATACATCACCAAGTGCAATGCAAAGCGTCGGATGCGGTGGTGTAAAGCACGCCGCCACTGGACTCTAGAGCAGTGGAGACGCGTTCTCTGGAGTGACAAATCGCGCTTCTCCATCTGGCAATCTGATGGACGGGTCTGGGTTTGGCGGTTGCCAGGAGAACGGTACTTGTCTGACTGCATTGTGCCAAGTGTAAAGTTTGGTGGAGGGGGGATTATGGTGTGGGGTTGTTTTTCAGGAGCTGGGCTTGGCCCCTTAGTTCCAGTGAAAGGAACTCTGAATGCTTCAGCATACCAAGACATTTTGGACAATTCCATGCTCCCAACTTTGTGGGAACAGTTTGGAGCTGGCCCCTTCCTCTTTCAACATGACTGTGCACCAGTGCACAAAGCAAGGTCCATAAAGACATGGATGACAGAGTCTGGTGTGGATGAACTTGACTGGCCTGCACAGAGTCCTGACCTCAACCCGATAGAACACCTTTGGGATGAATTAGAGCGGAGACTGAGAGCCAGGCCTTCTCGTCCAACATCAGTGTGCGACCTCACAAATGCGCTTCTGGAAGAATGGTCAAAAATTCCCATAAACACACTCCTAAACCTTGTGGACAGCCTTCCCAGAAGAGTTGAAGCTGTTCTAGCTGCAAAGGGTGGACCGACGTCATATTGAACCCTATGGATTAGGAACGGGATGTCACTTAAGCTCATATGTGAGTCAAGGCAGGTGAGCAAATACTTTTGGCAATATAGTGTATTTAGATGATCCACCCAGAAATAAAAGATTGTTCTCTATACCTTTAAGATGTAATTTCTCCACCATTTCTAAATTACTGGACTCAAAGATGCATTGATCAATGTTTTTAGAGGCGGAACTCACAAGTTTAGTAAAATTTTGACCCATGCATACTGAGTTGTTTCCATTTTACTTTAAAAATTATAATGTAGGCCGGCAAAGCTCTAACTTCATAGATATTCTTACTAGAAATGCAGCAATCCAATAGTAATATCGGTTCTTAAGTTTTCTTTATTGGGTATTGGTGAAAATGGGTCTGACCCATTAGGGCAGATATATTCAAACCTTTGCCGTAATAGATTTAAGTTAGGTTGGAAATTTCTAGAACTGCAGGAAACTTTGACCCTTTTACTGGGCTTCTGTCTTTCGTAATAAATGCAGTCAGCCTGAACCCTTACAGCGGCATATTTGTTTTCAGAATGAAATCAATCCTCCTAACATGATTTCTAGATTGTTTGCTCTTTAACTTTGTTTTTTGACCTTCTGCTAAAGTAATGTTTTGGTAAATACATGTGTAGATCTGTACTTATCATACCTGCATGTAGAGAGAGTGTATGACAACTTTTATAAAATCAGCAATAGCGACAATACCATTAAGGCTAACAGAGCTCTGTTAGCTGAAAACTGTCAGGATTCATCGACAAAATAAATTATTCAAATTAAATTTTCGGAAAATTGGACCAAAAGTTATATTTTGAAAGTAATGTATGTCATCTATCGTGTTTATTATGAAACTCGGGGGAAATCACAATTTATCAATTGGAGTTGGTTGCAAAAAATTAAGAGATTTGATTTTTGAAGCCTTATTGTGCAACTCTAGGATCTGTAGAAAATCAGAATCAGATTTAAATGCAAAAGATGTGGATCTTTGCCTCCTTAAATTCTGTTTCTATAGGTAGGTAGAGTGGATGTTACTGTGCGGGTTATAAGAGGGTATGGTCAACAGGAAAAACAGAGATGAGGTGATTTAAAGTTGATATTTAGTTTTCTATAGCAGCTAACTAAACTGGCATAATTTTGTGTTTCTTTCTCTAATAAAATATCCAGAGCAGAAACATTGCAAATGTCACGCACTGCAGGAGGACATATTTAAGTAATGTGGAGGGAAAAGTTATCTTTTGTATTTAAGTGTCGATGATGTACTCTGAGTAAAAGTTGGTTTTCCAACAGCAGTAAGGAAAGTCTCTGATGTGCTCTATAAAAAGAAAAGAAGACAATGTAAATCTCAAAACAACACCTGGAAAAGGTCAACTTTCAGCTGATCGGCATCAGTAGAAAAAAAAGTTTTTTGTTTGCCTTACATCCTTTGAGCTTCTTCTGAAGTGCTTACATACGGTGCATTCAGGGATCAGGAAAAGGTCAGTTTTTATAGCTTCCATCCTGATGGACACCAGTCAGTTTTTGTCTAGAGTAACAATCAGCTGATTTTAGTCACTAACCAGTTTCTACAATACATATCCAGCTACAGCATGTTTTCAGAGATTTGCTGTGAGATTTATACCTGTTTAGGCTGATTTCATTTAGTAACTAAAAAGAAGCAAAGTTTTCCTCACATAAAATATCATTAGACAGTGAGTTTAAAGTCTTTAGGTTGACATTTACGTATATCACCAGACTTTTAAAGCTAAACAGGGAACACTTCAAGGCAGACATGGTGTTTCGTTGGGGGGGGGGGATCAATTACCGTTACACATGCTATATTTTGATGGAAGAAAAAAGGATAAATCTATATTCTATAGATTTTAGTACAAAATGCTCTTCTGTACTGTGCTAACAACCCCATTCTTCTGATACACATTTACACACGTACGCACACAGTTTCCATGGAAACAGGATCCAGGGCCTTTTATGACTGGTTGTGCACCCGAGACAACCAAAAAAGTGTTCTCAACAGTCATGCTAAGATGGGAGATAAATCATTTGTACAGTAAATAATTGCACATTGTATTAAACAGGAGAAAGTGAAATTTAGACGAAGCTCTGATCAGCAGCTAAACAGGCTCTCCTCTTTCTTTTTATTTTTTGGTTTAGCCGGCTGCTTCCACCATCAATGTTTTTGTCGCTTGTTTTGTCATGCTATTTTCATATTAAGCTATGCCAAAAAAGCTGGGTTACTCTTTTGGAAAAGAAAAGACAAGAAGAAAACACATTAGGCAGAGACACACGGACCCTCTCCAGTCAGGCGCCCTACAGTAGCCTAATGTGTGTCTGAGGTCCAGATGGTGTAGCTGTGGGAGGCCTCCTCTGTGGTGTTAGCCTTACTGCCAGTAGTCCTAGTTTTGTCTGTCCCAAGATGGTAGGAGAAATGTCTACTAGCCATTCCTCTGTGGGGACCGTGGTCAAGGCGCGGCGCTCGGCTCAGCAGGATCAACTTGTTCGCTGCTTTTGTTGGGAGCCAAGTGCTCTGGTCATTTGACACGTAGCTGTGGGTTAGCTGTATGATTTTGCTTCTCCTGGAGATGTTCTAATGCTATTAGTGAAATCATGCATTAACATTCAGATTTTTGTGTATGTTTTTCTTCCCAGGAACTAAGTTGAATAAGGACCTGAAGCATTATCTAAGCCAACGCTTCCAGAAGTCCTCACCTGACCACGAACTGCAGCAGACCATCAGAGAAAACCTGTACCGCCACGCAGTGCCTTGTAAGTCTGACACTCTATGCGTTTATTTTTTTACTAAAACTACTGTTGCCTCTTTGAATTTGGCTTTCCTGTACTTTGACGCAAAGGTGTTCATAAATGAATGAATTACACATGGCCTTTAAATTGTTCTACTAATTAATGTATCTGGTTAGCATCACTTACAGTTGTCTGAAACTCTTAATGCCATTGTCACCAAGTGGTTTAACATTCCTATTAATTTCAGTTTACATCTGGTTTATAGTAGTAGGACTCTATCTTTGACACACCAGTCAGTTTAGAATCTGATGTTCAGAATCTGTATAAAGTCCCGCTTAACTTGACCAAAACTTTTGCAAACCAGAATGTTTAGAAAACTCCAGTTGGTGGAGATTAAAGCTACGTCCACACTGCAGCCTGAAGTGACCCAAGTCCGCTTTTTTTTGCCCATATGTGACCTGTATCTCATCTTTTCATGGCAGTCTGAACTTCACAAATCAGATTTTTTTCCAATGCGACCCAGGCCGCTTGGCTATGTGGTCCTGAATCCGATACGAATCAGATCTTTTCAAATGAAATGTGTGTCTGAACGGCCAGGTTGCATTCATCTGACCTGAATGTCATTAATACTCAACAAAGGTCACTATTCTGCATCTTGCTATGCAGAAGGGGAAGAATAACAACCATGGTGGATGATAATGTGAAGAGTAGTCTTTTTTTTTTTTAACCATCTTGAAAGATTGAGTTTTTAAGGTTTTAATAAATTTTTTAGAAGAGCTCCAGCACTACCATCCATGGTTGGTTCCATAAATTTAGAGCACGCTTGCCTGTCATTGCGTCCTCTATTGTGCTTTTGGGACACTTAAGCTGTATGAATGACGTTCACACAAGAGACCATAGTCACACATATTTAGAAATGTGAACAGCAATGCAAAAAAAAAAATTGATTTAAAAAAAAAAAAATCTGAATTGAGCATTAAGGCCTTCAGTTTGAACGTAGCCTGAAGTTGCACAGTAATTGTCAAACAGCAGTCATCATCGCAACATCAGGGATTGTAAAGTTACTAACATATATTTTATATTGCAGACTCATGTATTTTAAAGGTTTATACATAAAAGATAATAATAAGATAATAATTTTTAGGCCCACAGCAATAAGTCCTAGTGATCGAGATCCTAAAGCTTAAAGACTAGTGGGAACTTGTTAGTGAAAAGAAAGTGAGTATTCCAGAATATGTAGATAAATATGATAAATATCTTCACTGGAATATTCAAAAATATTTAAAATGTTTTTAATATTATGCAGAAGTCGTGAAAATTTACCTCAGGTGTGCAGCCAAAGGTGGTTAAATGAATAAGGACTTACTTTCAGGTTTTGTATTCTGAAATATTTGAAATTGTTAAATGGGTCCTTTCCTGTCCCACCATTATGCACCATGTCCTGTCAGCCTTTTGTATGAATTCTTTTTAAATGTAAAAAATTTCATAGTTTAAACTTAATAGATCCAGAAAATTTAAAGAAAATACTTACATACTTACAAATGGTACATTTGCATTTAACATTAGACTTTGTCTTAGCTGAACATCAGACACGTCATTAGAGTCATTGCCTCAGCCTGAGGCAGATCAGTGTTAGATCATTGTTATGGTTTGGTATATTTGCCCCGCACCAACAATTGGCCTTTATTTCTAATTAGGGCTGATTGCTTAAGTGCTGTATTTCTCTCTAGGCCAACGTTGTCCATGCAGTTAAGCCACATCCTAACCTGATGTTATTGCCCTATCGGTTTTATCACAGTAGATCCTCCACCTCCCAAAAGAGAAGCTAATTCTATGTTTTCCAAACTGATGACTAATGATGATGCACTCTTCTTTCTTGCTATGCTTTCATGCTTTGCTAACACATTTGATCTGTGACTTTTGCAGTGCATCATGGGGAATCTCATATTATTGGAAAAAGATCCCAAAATCTTATCCAAGGATGTTTTATTACTTTGTGACATCTGAAGGTTGTTTATTTCTCTAGTTGCACAAGTGGTTATTTCTGATATAAAACCCAACCTATCAGAACAGATTTTGGTGTACATAATGTGGCAGACTCGCATCATAATACATAACACCTCCAACTGTGCAGGGAAGATAAAATGCATGGAAAGCCAGGCACTCAAACATTAAACATGGTGCATTAACATCTCGCTTGTTACAATTTATTAAGAGGACAATTGCCGTTGGTTCTCGAAACAAGGGGCAGAGTATGTGAACAAGGAAAGGTGGAGTTACCACAAGAGAGAAAAATAGTACCATAAGATAAAAATTAATATTTAGCCTTTAAAGAAATTAAACTAATGGCCTTTTTATACTATATTGCATATAAACATTGCATATAAAATGATGCATAACTTAGAAAACGGGGAAAATGATCATGGGTTTTCAGGAAGTTTATAAATTGAAATTAGTTTAAAAAATGTGGAACACTTAAATATTTTACTCTGTTAACTCTTAAATCCCTCAAAATTAATCAGATGCCACCCAAATAGTAACTAAGAGTTTATTTACACCAGAGAGGTCGTTTGGCTCAGATAAAAAGGAGACTTTTTTTTTTATTTTGGCCTGGGTTTTAATTTTTGCAAGTGGACTATAAGTCACAGCAAGGCGGCATTGCGCCCAGGAAACAAACAGGAAAGAGGGCAGACCCGGAAAAAGTAAAACTACAAGGGGAGTCGTTGATGCAGTGCCCATGTTTTTCATAATTACACTGTTATTACAGCTTCAAAACAGTTTTTGTCATGGGTAGATGTCATGATGTTAGATTTTAATGTCTGATTTTCAATTCAAAGAATATGTCCTTTAAGCAGAGGGAGATTCACTGCTGGCAGCAGTGTTTCTAAGCAACAGAGAGCAAAACAGGTGTAACTTCGATAATACTTTTACAACTCTTAGTCCAAAGAGACCTATGCTTTCTGTAACTGAGTAGGACAGAGGCTTATTTGTATTCAAGCGAACCACACTAGAGTCCGTTTGGATGCGGACTAAGATCACCTTAAAAAGTAGGTCCCGTTCTGGTTGTTTTCATCTTGATTAACAGCTGCACAAAAAGTCAGACCAGGAGAGAGACATGTTCAAATGGACCAAACATGGCAGGTGGGAATAGACCCTAACTGTCAACATGTGTGTAATCTTACTTCATTAGGACAGCTATCTTGAAGACCTGAGATATTTGCAATAACCATTAAATTAATAAACCTGATACTAAAGATGGAAGAAGTTGGCAAACACTATTTAAAACTTTGGAAATCTAAACCTTCTCTATTCAAGCAGAATGGCACAACTGCTGACCTTCCAAGACATGGTTGTCCACCTGAGCTACCAAACAGCACGCTTAACAAAAATAGTCAAAGGTTACTCTGGAAGATCTGCAGAGATACAAAGACGATCTGAAAGGACAACTAACTAAAATGGTGGGAAGAAGATATTTCATGCAACAGCTTCATTAATTTGAACAACATTAAAAGGGTCTTCAAAAATGCTCTGGTCATATAGGAACAAAAAGGTAACTTTTTGGCATTGCTGTGTATCACCTTAAACACATTACAACTGTAATATGTAGTGGTGGCAGCATTATGCTGTGTGGAGGCCTTTTTAGTGGGCCTGTTGAAAGTTAATAGGAAGACAGATGGAGCTATAAAGACCTGATGAAAGCATGTTGGAGGCTTCAGACAGAGTTTTATTCCAGCCGGACAAGGACCCAACATAAACCCAAAGCTGCATTGGAACTGTTTTTATCAAAGCATATTCACTTGTTAGAAGGGCAGAGTCAAAGTTAAATATTTTTACATCTGAGAATCAATAAAGCTTTAAAATAGGTGTTTACAGATTCTTGAACATCTTTAATCACAGTGGGGCTTTGCAAACAAAAACACAATTCTTCCGCTTTGGTTTCCCTCTACATACGACTGTTATGCCCTTCCCATAAATCTCATTAAAAACCTTTGAGGTTTGTGTTTGTAACTTGGCAAATTTAGCCAAAAATGTAAAGGGAAAGAACACTTTTGCAAGGTGCCACATAAGAAAATGTATATAAGCCGATAATCAGATTCAGTTTCTTTAGGCTACAAGGTAAGCATCAACTGAAAGAGGATTTTTATTCACTGCCTTTTAATTAGTTTTCTCCTAATTCTCTCCAATAAATGACTTTCTGTACGTAGGCAGCTTGTTTCAGAGACTTTATCTGCAAAACGCCATATGTCAGCCAGACCCTGTCACTTGGTGGGGGTCTGGTCATAATGCCCACTGCAATTACTGAGTGGTTTCAGGCACATTAAAGTTGTCTGAAGCTAATAAAGCATGACAGCACTCTACTGGCCACTTGTTCTGTTCTCTATGGTTTTAAAGTTTTTGTGTCATTTGGTCTTGCAGAAGGTAGTTGTTTTGGTAGAGGTCCTATTTGACATTAGCAAAGTCTAATATCTGAACTCAGCTATCGACTCAGAGATTGACTTGTACTCCCAGATCATATGGTCAAACCCAAATCACCGTTCATCTGCAGAGATTTAGTTGAAGTGACAGATGGAGAGGTGCACATTTTCATCGTTTCGCTCCATCATTCCTTTGCTAGTCTCTGTGAATGACAAGAACACCAGTTTTGAACTAACTATTTAGTTTGATTCGTTCTGTTGTATACAAGCCATCTGTCTAGTTGCCTCAACAGTGGGGGGTTCCCTTTTATTTTGGCTTCTAGCTCTTATAAAGCTTGTGATGCCTTGTCTGGGCTTTTCACACCCCTCACCCCTCTGTTTCCCTTTGACCCAAGTGCCCTTTGCAACCAAGAGGACACTCAATGCAATCAATGAGGACATGACCCCTCCCTAGGTTCTTTACTGTCAGAAGACTCGTTTTTCTTATCCCACCTTGCAGTATGCATCGGAGCACACAGAATAACTGAAACATGGGGGAACCATACCAATGGGGAAAAACAGGACACTGCTTTTCTGTGCAGAAGTTACTACAGGTGAATGGCACAAATT